AAGATAGATAACAGATGATGCTGTATGGGCTATTGCTTTAAACATATGTTCAATCAGTCCTTTGAGAAGGACATTACAGTTGTTCAGTTGTTGGCTCTGGAGTGAACACTGCAAATTAGATCTAATGAGCAGTTGTTTTAATACTTAGTTAGAGATGGGCAAAATCACTTGGTTCCTCTCTGGAAAGGTTTCCATGTACCCAGAACTCTGCATCAGGAGATGACTGAAGTGCCTGGACCTAAGCTGGAGTCATGAGAATCCCTAGAATGGCCATTATGAAATCACCGACGCATAAAATGGCACATCAAACTTCTGACATGTCAAATGGCAATGCAGATGGATAGCATCAGATATACACAAAACGGCTCACCTTTAAAGCCTTAAACAGCTCATGTCCAGAATACTTAAAATACTGTCTCTACCCTTTTGAGACTTCCCAGTGCTCAATCTCTGATAACATCTATAGAGCATCTCTCTTTGATGTATTTCTGGTGGGAACACAAGAGGGGGGCTTCTTCCTAGTGGCGGAAGTCCCTATCCAATAATATGTGTCTGTTCTGCACTGTGTGATGATTTTATGGCCTTAATGAATAACTTTTTGTTTAGGCAAGTATTTGTTTACCACCTGGTTAGTTTATTAATTTCTGTTATTCTTGATTTGCTCTCCCTCCTCCCCATTGCTTCTATCTCCTTTGAATTTTAATTTGCATCTGTCTTGCATTGTGAGTTGCTCTGAGTGAGCAGAAAGAAGACATACAAGTTCAAGCCCCATGTTGGGTGAAAGATTCCTTCGTTGCAGGGTGTTGGGACTAGATGTCTGTTGTGGTCCCTTCCAACTCTATGATTATATGAAAATCTATGAAATGAATAAACAAATAACCAACACACACCAGAGGCAAGGCTCAGGGCAGTCTGAACATGTTTTGCAATACATTAGTCCTGTCGATTGAATTTGCATGGGCAGAAACACAAATTTGTCACTGTCATTTGGATTGACCCAAATTTGGATTGTGTGTGTGGTATCATTAATTATTATATATTTGGAGACAAAAGAAATTGCAGCTGATGCTCCTTTATATCTATTCTCCTTTATCTCTATATCTATTGGGGGTGGTTAACTGTCTGGTTTAGCCATTCCAGCAATGTAATTATCACATAACATTGCTCAGATAAGAATGTAACCATCAGTGCTTGGATAGTGGAGCAGATCCCATCTGCTGGAGCTAGATCCACCATCAGCCTGCCTCCACATTTTCATTGGGTCTCCTGCTGTGCAGTTATGGTGTAGTGGTTAAGAGCGGTAGTCTCGTAATCTGGGGAACCAGGTTCGCTTCCCCGCTCCTCCACATGCAGCTGCTGGGTGACCTTGGGCTAATCACACTTTTTTGAAGTCTCTCAGTCCCACTCACCTCACAGAGTGTTTGTTGTGGGGGAGGAAGGGAAAGGAGAATGTTAGCCGCTTTGAGACTCCTTAAAGGGAGTGAAAGGCGGGATATCAAATCCAAACTCCTCCTCCTCTTCTTCTTCTTCTTCTTCTTCTTCTTCTATCTAGGGCTGACATGTCTATGGATTGGGAAGAAACACACCCATCTTTCAGAATTTGTACTTTGATGATTTTTTAACTGAACTTCTCCAGCCATTTTGTGTAGATGGGGAAAGTGTGCATAAAATTGTATATATTAGTGAAAATAACATACAACAACACAATATATTGTGTTGTGTTGTGGAAACACAAGGGGAAATTGTTTTGCAAAAAGAAAAAATTGTATACAGTATACCTCTGGTTACGAACTTAATTCGTTCTGGAGGTCCGTTCTTAACCTGAAACTGTTCTTAACCTGAGGTACCACTTTAGCTTATGGGGACTCCCACTGCCGCCGGCCCACTAGCACGTGATTTATGTTCTTATCCTGAGGTAAAATTCTTAACCCGAGGTACTACTTCTGGGTTAGTCTGTAACCCAAAGTGTTTGTAACCTGAGGTGTTTGTAACCCGAGGTACCACTGTATTAGGTAAAATTGACATTAAAATGCTGGTGAATTTCCATCATGGCAGTATCTTAATGTAAACTGACAGAAATATGGAGAACTGAACAGTGAGACTGTAAAAATGAGAAACGGACAGAAAATCAAAATCAACAGATTCACCCAGCCCTAACTATGTCAGCAATGTCAACTTTTGACTTTTTGAAATGGCCTGACCAAGCAAGTTTGAGGAATTTGTTCATCTCTGGAGTCCTGCTTCATAAATTACATCTAAGCCAGTCAGTGAAGAGAATCATAGCACAGTCAATCCTTGTGCTTCAGGAACTGAAAGCATGTTCAGCCTAGTATTACTCAACGTTAGTTAAGAACATGATGTTTGAACCAGCTGGCTTTGCACATTTCCGTTAGTGGAAAAGTGAGGATTACGAAAGCTTGGTGCTCAGTGACTTTCATAGTTCCTAAGATGTAGAATAGGACTGACATGTGCACATAATATTCTGTAAATAAGATTATAACGGATCAGAAACATAAATATAGTAGGACAAACCACAGGTTACACACACAACACTGTCATTCATTTAAGTTGTTGTTTTAAGCTGGTTTGGCTATATTGCATGTCACAAAATTCCAGGTAATTATGCTCACCTAACTGGTTTGTGGGTCTGGTTGTATACCTCCCAGCACTGCACTTTTGAATTTCCTCTCCTGCATTGTTCAGTTATAATGAAACTGTTGACCTCAAAGGTGAACTTTCGAGAATGGGTTTTCTCAGAACGAGGTTGTAAACTTTTAGGGCACTAAACATCAGACAGAATAAAGGGCCCACAAAGCTTAATGTTTTTGAGAGCCTGTTGTGTGCTACAAGGTACCTTTCTCAACTGCAAAATAAAATCAGTAATATATGAGAGGTGAGGAAGTAGAGAAAAATACAGACACAAAGTTGCTCTGAGCAGGTTCACCATTTTCTTATTATTGTTACATCACATGTAGTGCTTGTCCAGATCCCCACTTGTCCCATGCTTGACATGTGCTTTCTAGGCATGGGTTTTCAATCTTCCCTTACACCTTTTCCAAGAAAAGACCCACTCTTTAGCTTTAAATAGGAGCAAACGGCAATCCAGCTATAACACAATTTGCTGTTTGTTCCTGTTTAACGCTAAAGAGTAGTTTTCCTAAGGGTCAAGGGGTGGGCGTTGAGCAGCAGAACAGGTGAATGAGCCCTTGGAGAGTACCCTGAGATGCTGATCAAAGGAATGGTAGGTGATTAAGAAGGAAGGAAGGAACTTATGAGAAATTGGAGTCTGACTTGCTATCCTGATGTGCAAAATGAAACAACAACTTATCTAGGCTAGCTCAGTGGCTTACTTGATGGTTGATATTCTTAGAAACTAGAGTGGCAGTCGTATCCACCAGCCTTTGGCTAAGACCAGTATGAAAAGAAGGGCTGAAAGAAGCAGTTTTGAGAGTGGGGATGGGGAGAGGAGCAATCTTCAGTTTTCAAGCCAGCTGGCAAGAAGCTGCTTAGGAGGATTGCAGCAACTCACGTTACGCTTGGGAGACTGATGCTGGGTTGTTGTTTTACTAGCACTGAATGTCTATCAACTTCCCTGCTCCAAAGAATTCAACCCCTTACTTGTGCATGCAAGCGAGAGAGTGTAAGAAGAGCCCTGTTGGATTGCACCAAAGACTCACCTAGTTGAGGACACCTCATGCTAGAGTCCCCCACGTCTTATTGGACACCTGCTTCCATCAGCCCCAGTCAACAAAGTCAATGATCGGGGATGGTGTGAGCTGCAATTCAGTTGCTACTAGAGGACACCAGATCAGAGAAGTTTCTGAAAATCTGCAAAAAGGGGTTTTCTCATGTGACCCAGAGCTTCTGACATAAGATGTCCTGCACCAGCTCCTGCCAGCTAATGTAGAAAGGGACTCTAAAACTAGGGAGGTCTGAGTAATCCCTCTTCTATGGCCCTACAGAAAGGGAGCAGTTGGATTCTACCTTAAACAAGGGTTATTTTTGGCTCAAAAGCTCTTAAAATAGGATTTCTTCAAAATGGATTAGAATCAGGTATATGAAGTAGCATGTTTTGTGCTGATTGCTGCAATAATTCAGAAAGTGGGGGAGTTCATTCAGAAGCACATGATTTGCTACAAGGGAGATGGCCTATTTTAAGGTTAAAAAAGCATTTGGATTCTTGCCGTGTATCCTGTTTTAATCTTGTGTGTTTAATTATGCTAATGACTTATTTATGGTTCCCCTCTATTCTTTGAAAACTTCTATTAACTTGGGTCTGTGATTAATATTCTTGCCCTGCTTTTGTATTCTATTGTTCTGGCATATTGGCCAGAACAATAAATGTGAAAACCGTCAGGTTCCTTCTACATTGTTTATAGTGCAATCTATTGATACCAAGTATAGAGGGAACAGGGGAGGGGAACAAAGCTCAGTGAAAAAGCACATGCATTGCATGCAGAAGTTCCAGATTCAATTTTGGCTAAATCTAAGTTTCTAGGCTGGAAAAAAGCTTCTGAACCTGGAGCGATAGATGCTCTGTATAAGGCAGCATCATTGGCAGTCCTCCTATTTTTCTTGCTTCTTTCTCCCAGAGTCAACATCTATGGGAGGTTAAGAGGTCCATTGAAAAGATAAAGCCTGGTTGGAAACATCTTGGAATGTTTTGGACAATGTGACAGATGCATCTGTTTCACCCTATTGTCGCCATTTAGGGTTACTTGGTTAACATTTTGTTAGCATGAGTTGATGGACCCGTCATTGTTCAAGTTCCAGCTCCTTTCCCAAGGTCTCTAGAAGTTAAATCTCTGAGTGGCAGGTGGGTGGGCTTTGTTGTCTCTATCATGCATACATCTAAATGTGTTTAGATGGACACTGACACCATGTAGTAGTGCACACCATGTCATTTCATTTGCTGCAACTGCTGGGTATGTTTTGAATTGTTTACCGATTGTAGGGCAATTGTGTGATTCTAGTCCAGGCATCCCCAAACTTGGCCCTCCAGCTGTTTTGGGACTACAATTCCCATCATTCCTGACCACTGGTCCTGTTAGCTAGGGATGATGGGAGTTGTAGTCCCAAAACAGCTGGAGGGCTGAGTTTGGGGATGCCTGTCCCAGTTTATCAGTACTGAAAGCACAAATGCTGTATTGGCTTTTAAATCAGTCGATGGAAGGCTATTGTGGGGGAAATGAATATAGGAGATGGCAGAGAGGGTCCATCATCAAGCATGTGGAGGGGAAGGGAGCTGAAGAGTGGTGTGACCCTGCTTTCATTTGTGATATGTTGTTACATTTGTTGGGCATAGTCAGAGAATCCTGGAGAAGAGAAGGCTAATGGAAGACATGCTAGCTGTCTTCAAATATCTGAAAAGCTGCCATGGAGAAAAGGGAGCAGACTTGGTCTCTTTTGATCCAGATGGACCTAAAACCATTGGGTGGAAACTGAAATGCATCACGGTTTAGCTGAATGTTAGGGAAAACTTCATAGTGGCAAGAACACTTTTACAGTAGCCTTCCTCAGGAGGTGTTTTTTTTCAGCAGATGGCCATCTATGAGGGATGCAGTGACTGCATCATGCATTTCAGGTTCCCCCAACTGAGTAAGAAAGCAGGACGAGATGCTTCTGCAGCTCATAGAGCCAGTGTGGTGTAGTGGTTAAGAGCGGTAGACTTGTAATCTGGGGAACCGGGTTCGCTTCCTCGCTCCTCCACATGCAGCTGCTGGGTGACCTTGGGCCAGTCACACTTCTCTGAAGTCTCTCAGCCTCACTCACCTCACAGAGTGTTTGTTGTGGGGGAGGAAGGGAAAGGAGAATGTTAGCTGCTTTGAGACTTCTTTGGGTAGTGATAAAGCGGGATATCAAATCCAAACTCTTTTTCTTCTTCTTCTCATTTGAAATATTGTAGAATAATATTCTATGAAGTACATTCTTTTTAAGAGCATGGGCACCTATTGGTCAAAAGAGATTTGTTGAGAACCCAAGGATGTGTTAAATGAAGAGATGATGTAGAATAAAATATCATTATGGGTGAGAGGGTTAGGGAGCATGAACACTGCCATCCTTGGGCTGCAACATTTTGCTCAGAAGGCCTAATCTTATTATGCTAGCCCATGCAAATTATATGTAGTTTATACCAACAAATGTCTTTCAACCAATATGTGCCCACGCTCCTAAATACAACTTGCTTCATTTTCTATCCCAAAATATCAATGGAAATTCTGCAGGCATAAACTACAGCTGTAAATTAGTGTCAGATTAGAATTCATATCCAGTCATGGATGCTGTTCTTAGATTTCAGTTGGATGAATTCCATTCTTGGCCAGGTTATGCAAGTGTTTGTGCCTTCAGGTGCTGACAATTCCCTCCCCTGGATGGAAAATAAAGACAGAAATTGGCTTTGGTTTAATTGTACCACCAGTAGAAATTAAAATACCCGCTATAGAAATCTTGCCTTTCAGATTACTGTGAGCAGCCCTAAACAAACAAACAACCTAATATCTTGGGGAAAGTAGAAGCAGGATAGATGTGTAACCTGACCTTATGAATCTTCCCCACCAAGACTTCTGCCCTTTTAATAAACAAAGTGTACTAATCACTGTTTCTGCAGTTTAGTAAAATCATTGCTCACTTACCTGAGGAGAAATCCTGAGGAGGGATTTCTGTTGAAGAGAAGGGATTCACACAATTTCCACACTGACCATTTCAAGAATCTTCACCTGCCAGAAAAGGAATTTTGGATTTTTTTTTCTTTTCTTCAGGAACTTTTGAAGCCACTCTTAATCCCCTTGAACTCTATATAGAGAAACTTTCATAGTGCGCGCTCTCTCTCTCTCACTCACACACACACACACACAGAGAAAGAAATCTGTATTAGAATAATATAAATATTTACAAAGTTGTGAGTCTTCCCCACCTTTTAGTTTTAAACTAAAAACCAATTAATGGTCCTCTCTTGACAACACCAGCTGTTTCAATCCAACAGCAGGTAACTGCTTCTAGTTTAAGCTTAATTGATGCCCCTGGAAGAAATGTAAAATCAATCTATGAATGTGAGAGTCTGTGGATACAGAAGGAAAATTCACACTAAATCCTAATGAAAAGTGGCAGCCTGCATTCGTATGGCTTAACAGCTGTCATAAAACAGAAACAGTGACCGGCTTCTTTTAAAGCATTTGTTTTTGTTTCTACATCTCACTTCAGTTCACAGTCAAGGGGCTGTTGTATTGTGTAGGCTGTCTTCCAAGATTGCTGGGTACAAAACAGCAGTTTATGAAGTCAACAGATAAATAATGTTATTGAATTAAATGGCTGATCCGAGTGATTGCAAGTGTCATCACTTTGCTTTTCAAGAGTGCAAGGTTTGGAACAGCGCCAGCTTCTGATCAACCCATGGCATAACATTTCTCTTGTGCAAAATACTGTGTGACCAGAGTTGCAAATGGAATTTGTCTGATAGGGAATTTCAGTGCAAAATGCAGAGATTTTTCTCTCTCAGAGAAGTATCAATGGCATGTTGAGGAAAGCAGAAAGAGCTCCAATCATACTAGTGACATGGGGGGTGGCAAAAGAACTGTAAGTAGCTAGTCAGTAGGGAGGGATGTTGTAATTTGCCTGACCTCCCAACATGAGTGTTGCTACAATTTATTGGGTGGGGGTGATTGGTGGATTGCAGGCTCCTAATCGAGCCAATCTAGTGTGTTTGCCCCACACTGTGATCTCCCTTCCCCCTCCTCTTTCGGATAAACTGCAGTGACGTCCATGCTGGGAGGTCAGCTCTGTGCTGGCCAATCCTGAAAAGAATTCCTGCTTGCTGCCAAGTGAGGACTGAAAACAGCCTCCCTGGGTGCACATGTGCCAATGGGGAAAAAACCCATGAAAGCCCCATTTTAAGAGCATGCACCTGAGTTCTGCTCCTCCACATGTAAAGCTGTAGGAAAAAAGCAGAAGCCACCAACTGGTGAGACGGGTGCTGGACTCATGTGGGGTGCTGCTGCTGCACGTGCTTCTGGAACTGTTGCAATATGTTAACTGACGAACAGGAAATGAACAGGAAATGGCCTTGCGGGACCTTGCTCCCCCTGGCGACTCATTGACTAAGCTTGTTGACGGCTGGAATATCCAGCTCCTGGCAGCCATAGATGAGATCGCACCTAAGCGCCCTCTGCGACTCCGCAGAAACCGGGCTCCCTGGTTTACCGAGGAGCTTCGGAAAATGAAGCAGGACCTCAGACGGCTAGAGCAAGTATGGCGGGGTGCCCGTGATGGAGCCTCAAGAACATCTTATAGGGTTTTCATGAAAACCTATGAGATGGCAGTGAAGGCCGCTAAGAAGTCTTACTTCTCGGTCTCCATTGCATCTGCTAGCTCTCACCCGGCGCAATTATTTAGTATAATTAGGTCTTTAACGTCCCTTGAAGGATAGCCAAATTTAAATAACAATCTGACACACAGCTGTGAGGCATTTGCGAGCTTTTTTGCGGAGAAGGTCCTGTTGCTCCGCCATGACCTCCCTGCCAATTTGGATACAATAAAGGAACTGGAGGTCCCTCGACTGTCCTCGGGTCCAGTATTGGACCACTTTGACCAGATATCCCCAGCAGATGTGGACAGACTCCTCCAAGCTGGAAAGCCCACCACCTGTCCTCTTGACCCGTGCCCGTCTTGGCTGATTAGAGCATGTCCAGATGAAGTGCGGGCCCCCCTGGGGGATATCATCAATTTGTCCCTTGGCACCGGGATATTTCCAAGGGAATTGAAGGAGGCAGTGGTGCGCCCGCTCTTAAAGAAAACATAATTAGATCCCTTAGATCTATCCAATTACCGCCCGGTTTCGAATCTTCCATTCCTGGCTAAGGTGATTGAGAGAGCGGTTGCTGAACAGCTTGGTGGGTTTCTGGATGAAACATCGGCTCTGGATCCATTCCAGTCCGGCTTCCGCGCTGGTCATGGGACTGAGATGGCTCTGGTCGCCCTAACAGATGATCTCCGCCGGCAGCTGGATCGAGGCGGGTCGGGGCTGCTGATTCTTCTAGACCTGTCAGCAGCCTTCGACATGGTCGATCACGAACTCCTGGACCACCGCCTTGCCGACATGGGGATCCAGGGCACAGTCCTTCAATGGCTGTGCTCGTTTCTCTCTGGTCGGGGACAGAGGGTGGCGCTTGGGGGGGAATTGTCATCGCGCCACTCCTTGGTGTGTAGAGTGCCTCAGGGTGCGATACTCTCCCCGATGCTTTTTAACATCTTTATGCGCCCCCTCGCCCAGCTTGTCCAGAGTTTTGGGCTGGGTTGCCATCAGTATGCCAATGACACCCAACTCTATCTGTTGATGGATGGCCATCCTGACTCGGCCCCAGACACACTGACCAGATGTTTGGAAGCTGTGGCTGGATGGTTACGTGGAAGCCGGTTGAAGTTAAATCCTTTGAAGACAGAGGTCCTCTGGCTGGGACGGGACGATATGGGATTGGGGGGGCAACTCCCATCTCTTGCGGGGGTGCAATTAGTGCCAGCACCGTCCGTTAAGAGTTTGGGTGTAATCTTCAATACCTCCCTCTCTATGGAGGTGCAGATTACAGCTATAACAAAGGCGGCATTTTTTCATCTCCGCCAAGCTAAGCACTTGGCCCCTTATCTCTCTCGCCCTGACCTAGCCACTGTGATCCACGCGACGGTCACCTCCAGACTGGATTATTGTAACTCGCTCTACGTGGGGCTGCCCTTGAGACTGACCCAGAAACTCCAGCGGGTGCAGAATGCCGCGGCGAGACTCCTTATGGGGTCTTCGCTGCGAGATCACATTCATCCAGTACTATACCAGCTGCACTGGCTCCCGGTGGAGTACAGGATCAGGTTTAAGGTGCTGGTTTTAACCTTTAAAGCCCTATACAGCCTAGGACCCTCGTACCTACGGGACCGCCTCTCCTGGTATGCCCCACAGAGGAACCTACGGTCTGCAAATAAAAACATCCTGAAGGTCCCAGGCCTCAGAGAGGTTAGGCTGGCCTCAACTAGAGCCAGGGCTTTCTCGGCTGCGGCTCCAATCTGGTGGAACGCTCTGTCACAAGAGACTAGGGCCCTGCGGGA